TTCTTCTTTCAGACGAATACAATCGGAGTTATATTAAAAAATGTCCTGGCTCTTCCGTGCTTTATAATGGCAGTGAATGGGTGTTGAGATTTTGAAGTCCAATAAAGTACATCCATCCATCATAAAAAGTGCTCCACACAGCTCCGGGAGGTTAATGAAGGCCTTCTGAAGTGAAGTGATGTGTTTGTGTAAGAAAAATATCCATATTTAAAACTTTATAAGCAGTAATCTCTAGTTTCCGCTAACTTTCGTATGCGTGTTTACGAGAGAATGGCGTTCCAGCGGATGACGTAAGCGTACTGTAAGCTCCAGTGGCAAGTGACGAACGTGGATGCGCAGTGGAGAGAGCAAAACAAAACGTCAGTCACGAATTAGAAGTACAAAACCAGGATTTGTAAAGAAAAATGTCGGAGGATTTAGATATAAGCCAAGAGGAGACTGGTTTTCCTTTGCTGTAAACAAAACGACAGTTAGCGGAAACAAGAGATTAATATGGATTTTTTTTTACACAAACGCAATGAATCACTTTAGAAGGCCTTTATTAATCCCTCGGGGCCATGTGGAGCACTTTTTATGATGGATGGATGCTCTTTTTCGGCCTTAAAAACCTCGGCCCCCATTCACTGTCATTATAAAGGTTGGAAGAGCCAGGACATTTTTTAATATAACTCTGATTGGATTCGTCTGAATGAAGAAAGTCATATACACCTAGGATGACTTTAGGGTGAGTAAACCATGGGGTAATTTTCATTTTTGGGTGAACTAACCCCTTTAAGTTCCTTCTTCAGCAGTTTTTTCACCTGATTTATTGCTCATCAATTTAAAATAGCAAATGCAAATGTTTAAAAAAGTAACCCACACCCACTTTCAGGACAAACGGTGTGGGGTGGGATACATGCTGAAGCTTAATACTTAAGGTTAGGGGTTTGAACAAAGCAAGCGCCGCTAATTACGCTAAACCAAGGTTTCTTTGTACAAAGAATAACAAGGAGACCTTGGCTAAGCAAGAGCTGATCCATCCAATCATAGCGGTTCCTAAGCAACAGGTAATTTCACAATAGACGCAGCTGTAGTTTAAATGGCTATTCACAGCGGGAGCTGCGCGACTCCTCTGGAAGTCAATCTACCGCTGCATCGCACTGCAACCTTGAGGCGTTTCACATTGTTCACAGCACTGGGCTGATGGCTGCCGCTTTCAAACGAAATAAAAGACAAGAAAAAGTCAAGATAATGAAACCACATCTCTCATGTTTGCCTCAGATTCTGTGGTTTTCAAGCACAAATCTGAAGTTCGATGCAATCTATTTTTTTTCATCTTCTTATGAAATAAGCTTCTTAAACGTAGGCAGGGCAAAGAAAACCGCTCTAAAAGGCACAACAGTATCAGTAAGCCGGCGCAGTGCAATGTGACGCCGTTCGCAACAGAACAAGCGCTCCATTCAAAGTTGCTCACCTTCAGTGCTGAAAATGCAATCGCCATGAGACCCAATAATCAGATGGGGTATTGCTGCAGCTGAATCTTCGCTTTTGGGTCATGAACGGCTGCCTACTTTAACCATTACGCTCACTGGTCATGTGACCACTGAGGATTTTTGATTTGTATTAAGTTGCACATATTTTTAATTCACAAATTGTTGAATTCTTGATTCTGACTGGTTGAGATCAATTTTTCAGAGCCAGTAATGATCAGTTGGGCTGTTTTAAGCAAGATATGTAAAAAGTAAATAAAAGAAACTGTTCTACCTGAGCATTTTAGGTTAGGGCAAAAACATGAAAAGATGTATACAGACACATGGTATAAGCCAAATAATTGACTCTAGACTGTTGAATTATTGAAAAATTAATGCACTACTTTACATTTTGGCCACACTGTCACCCCTAGGTGAATGAAATCCTTTTTAATTATTCAATGGTCCATTGTCAATTATTCCTTTTTTAATATTAACATTGGGACACGTTTATTAATCGTCCAAGTTACAATATATTCTGTAGATGGTTGATGGAAAAGGATTAAGGCTGTATTTGACACACTATTTGAGGTGCAATTAAACTGAATAAAGTTTGAAATACCAAAACAAATGACTCAAAATTTTTTGACTTGGAATGTCATTCATAAAAGAACTGGAAATCTTTACAGTCACTATATTCATAATAAAAAAGGTTGGGTTGGAGTTAGTTGCAGTGTTATTTTTGTATAATTGATATACTATTATAGTTTTTGTTCATATTTTGAATAAAATTGTATTTTTATGTTTTCTGTTTTTATTTGAATTTTTGCTTGTTTTAGTAATTTGTCTTTTGTAATTTGTGTTTGTGTTTTTTGTGTAATTTTATTGTGGTTTTTTTTTTGTTCTCTCTCTCTCTATATATATATATATATGTGTGTGTGTGTGTGTGTGTGTCTGTCTATATAGTTTTTATTTTAGTTTATTTGGTTTTAGTTACTTTAGAATTTAAAGTTAAACTAAATGAAATTGAAAAATGCTGCCTTGGCAACTAGCCTGAAATAAGTGTGTTTTTTCTTATATATTTATTCATTCATTCATTCAATCAATGATTTTTTTTTTGTGGTTTCAGTTTTAGTTAATGATAACCCTGGTTAGTTAACCTTGCATACTTCAGTAAATATCTTAAAGTAAATTTCTGTACATAAACATAACTTAATGGCTTGGCTACATAAAACAATTTCCACCCTTATTGTTCTTAAAAGCTGAAGTTCTTTAAATATACATAGCAGAGAATATTATGACACATTTTGGGGTAAGTTGTCACAATTGAAACCTGTCGTTAAATGCCAATTTAAACATTTACAGTTTAAATATAAATAAAAATAAATACATAATTATTCACAGAAAAGTCCACAGTAAAAAAAAAAGATCTACTTTGGTCCAAATAAATTGTAAGTAATAAACAGTATAAAACTTGAGACAGTTTTGTTCTAGGTATTTGACGTACGGACCTACTGTAAATGGACCTCAGCTGATTGTCCAATTAGCAATTGTGTAATTGAACCATAGTTACTGACAAATAACCCTTGTGACAACTAGCCCCGGTCGCCCTTATTTACTTCTTCGCCTAAAAAGTCATATTTCTATTGACAGAAACATGTACAAACACATCTCAAAAACAGTAAAAAAAAATTATATGACTATCAAGAACTTAAAAACAATGGGAAATAAAACACTGAGAAATATTACTGAAAACATTGCCACTGAAGTGATTGATATGGAGGACGGGTCTGCATTCTCTTCAGCGGCTCAATACAACCCAACACTGACTCAAGCTATCCACGCTCCCTCATCTCCAGAGACGCCAGACTAGTCAATAATTCAGAAGCCGAGGCAGAAATGATATAAGCAGGAATGGACAGCTGGAAAACAAAGAGAATGAGGAGAAACGAGGAGCGAAAAGGGGTCATTTTGAAGTAAGCAATGCAATATATAGAGTACACAATAAACCATCAGCATAAAACAGGTTAATAGTGCTTCACAACTTTGCCACACAAGTAAAAAAGAAAAATCTATTAAAAGATGGATATCATTTCTAAGAAAAACACATAACACTAACACACTAGTCAACATGATAAATAACCGTCTGCTTCACTTTCAGATGATAAAGATTCTGCTCTGCTGCCTGTAATTCTGCAGAAGACATCAGTCATGCAGCTGCTGACAGCAGTAGTTTCACACACCAGACATCGTACATGTGTAAGAGTGATGATTCAGGCCATTATCACTTATCAATGATGCTGCATCAGTTATTAGAGCGAGTGGCTGTGAGGCTGGCAGACTAACTTCATTTACTGTTTAATTATTCCACACACTGTTATTAATCTCAGCTGCAGATAACACATGCCATTCGTTAAATCCTAATTGCTCCCTTCATGTTGTGTTCTAGCGAGATCTGTTTTGCTGGACCACATGAGTGAGTAATGAAATCTGTGAGTCACAGCTGCTCTGTGAAGGTGGATTTATTGTAATGAGTTGGTGGAGTGAATGTCATAAAACATGTCAAGAATATGTAAATATGAACATGTCCAGGTCATATTATCATCATGTCCCACCAAAAAGTAAGAAATCATATTTTGCATAAAGAAAAAGCAGCTTACATTTATGAGCACTGAGGATTTTTTTTTTCTGACACGGCGACAGTTTTTCCTGATTAAAGATGATTTCCTCCATAACTATTAGTATGACAATAAATAATAATATGTAAAAAATATATTAAAATATGGCATTACATCACTGCTTATTTTAATAAATAATCAATATTAATATTATTGTTGTTGTTATAATAAATTATTTATCATTTACTAAAAGGAGCATAAGGCAGTGATATATCTTATTAAATAATTTTATAATATATATATAAAAAAAAATT